AAAGTTGAGCAAAACTAAAAAATAAAAAAATCGAATTTTACATAAGGGCACCCCCTTTGAATTCTGATTTCAAAATATTCAAACCTCAATTGCTCGGTAACCGTTGAGCAAATTGCATTAAAATTTCCAAAATTTGTAGCTTTTATTAAGTTCTAAATGGCCTGTAATTCACAATATTTCCAGATTTCTAGTTTCTGAGCAAATTGAGTTTGAAGTTTTTGACAAAATTTGGACTAAAAGCCAACTTTGAGGCTCAATTGCTCAAAAACTATCCGAGCTATCGAACTCAATTTTGCACAGATTTATAGAGAATTTTATTTCAATTTGCTTGAAATTTACCAAAGATATGGGCAATTATTCATGACCATGTCAAGATTTGGAAAATTTTCCAGCGCCAAAAATAGGATTTTCTTTTTATTTTTGTTTCTGCTTAAAATAGCCATTTGGATTGATGTCAGGGTTGTTCTCCACTAATTTTGACCCGCTTTTTCGATTAATTTACCATTACGAAATGTATGAAAACAGTCATAAATTAATATTCTTTACGTTGATGCAATAATCTCAATTTTCAATTATAGTGCCCTTTTGCTTGTTCTGATTTTGTATTACCTTGGGATTTTGAATTAACATAATAAAATCTTCATTTCAGCTTGTAACTCTGACACTCCGACGCGCCCACAAAAGTCAAAATATATTATAAAGAGCACTCTACTACTACGGCATTGTTCCGCATAGCTAAAGTGAGAATTACAAATCCAACAACATATTTGTTAGAGGACATGCAAGGTCGGCCTATAAGTGGTGGTTTTTATGGAGAAGAACTAAAGGGAAACAAAACAACCTGATGTGTTTCTTATAGAACAAGTGTTACGGAAGAAAGGAATTAAAGTGTATGTAAAATGGTTGGGGTTTGATAAATTTCATAAAAGCTGGGTTGACAGGGACGAGGATCTATAGTCTGTCGATTTTAATTTGATATTGATGATTGTATGGATAATGAAGATGATAGCTGCTCAACCTGTTCATTTCATCATAACAATTTAATCACGAAAGGTCAGGTGATCCAAATGATTAACGAGAAGCATCCTGTTGCATCAGCAGCAGTGGTAAATAAAAAAGGAAAGGGAAACTAAAGATGAAGATTAGAACGGGAATCAACTCGAATCACACTACTTGTATTTATTTAGTTTATGCGTATAGGAAAGAGTCAATGTACTCTATGGTTTAATAAATAAATTTAACGGGGGAACCTGAGCCTGGGAACTTTTTTGATACCGTGGCAAAATCTGTAGATCGACGGCGCCTTTGATCTGAAGTTTCCAAACTAACCCAAATTTTTTGGGAGTTTTCCCGGAATTTCACCGCAACTCCTTATCTCATGGTGTCATCTTCAAACCGCAGAGTTGCATTTAGAAATAGCACTCTGAGTGTAAGAGTTTGACGTGATTTTGTACATTCATAGAACATAATTGACATTTACCGCAACGCCCCAATACATTCAGAAATAGCGCACCTAGAGTGCACTCCATGACGTCAGAACACTCTTATCAACAACTACTCTACCTTCACACTCCATTTCTAAATCGATCGTCTCGTCAGCGATCGTTTAAAAACATCTAGCCTAAAATAATTTATCCTATAAGAAAGAGTCAATGTAGGTACTTCATGGTTTAATAAATAAGGTTGTATGACGTCATCATTCAAAAGCCCCGTATGCTAGATTTCGAATTGAACGGTCGACAGCTGGTATTTGACATGTGACAGCTATCAAAAGTGACCGGAGACAGATAACGTGACAGGTGTCGGTACTCCGTGACTTGTATCCCGTACTCCGTACAAGATGACAGGTACGTCGTGACTTGTTATCCTGTACAAGATGACAGGTATATAGGTATCTCATGACTTGGTGACGGTTGACAGGTAACGTATATCAAAATATGGGCCACGCCCTTAAATATGGCATAGCACACGTGGCCATCATTTCAGAGATTCTCTACTGATGACGTATTGGCGTCAATCATTTGGGTCAGTTTGGGTTAGTTCAGAAATTTTCTACTGATGATGTATTGGCGTCGCGACGCCATGGTTGACGCATGCGCAGACGTCACGGAGGCGTCGGAAGGCGCAGAACGAACCGTGTATATTTACTAGACGCCTTCACTATAAATAGAGACCAGAGACATGATTGTTACTAAAAGAAAATTGCTAAGCATGGTTCAAAAAGTGTTTGTCCCTATAGGTTTTATTAGCCCTAGTTACGACCCAAATTGTGGTTACAAGTCGTGGGCTGGGAATATAACTTGGGATACCTACAGATTTGAAGCCGAAATCTATGAAAAAAGGCACTCAGAAAAATTGATAAATCACCCCAATTTGCTTAATACGATTTTATCTCAGGAACTATAAGTGCAAATCAGCTGAAATTTTCAGGGTTTGTAGTCCCTTTATTGAGATAAGATTCAGTGAAAATTTCAGCTTTCTATCTATAATAGAAAAAAAGTTATGCCCTTCCAAAGTTTTCCAAAATTTAAATCATAATTTAAATCATAAGGTAGTTACTGAAACGATGAAATTTCAATTTTTTTTTTTTGTTGAGATTTTGTATCCTAATGGTCAATTAACATCCCACAAATAGATAATGAGCTTTCCGTAAAATTTAAAAATTGGGTTAAAGATCTGGAAAATTTGAAAAAATCGAAATTACACGCTGGATGAAGTTTGAGTATTCGAAGGACAGTGAAATAAGCAAACATACATTTGTCCATGCTTCAAAGTATGCCTATATGCAGCGGCTGCCTATTATGAAGTTGTCAAAAATGGAAAGGTATGGGTTTCTTCGTTGGCAGCTAAATCCAGAGTAGCTCCTATAGAGAAGAACAGTAAAAGGTATACACTATACCACGACTGGAGTTGCTGGCTGCGACAATTGAAGCAAGGCTATACACAACAGTAATATCATGGATACATCGTAACGAAAATTGGGGAACGTTTGTGTATCGAGCGACTGAAATAGGAAAATTGACTTCCCAATTTCAGGGGTGACATATTCCAGGAATATACAATGCAGCAGATTTACCCACTCGTGGATGTACGGCTAAGATACTATTGGAATCCAAATGGTGACAGGGACCTGACTGAATGTAATGTAATAAAGAAAACTAGCCATATACTGAAAACTTACAGATTAATGAGGAGGAAATTAATGAAGAAAGAAAAAAATCAGTGAAAGCACTACTAAACCTAAATCAAGAAGAAGTTGTTTATCATTTAACTAACTTCAGTACTTTTGAGAGAACTGATAGAATGATTGCTGTATTTAGGTTTATCCATAACTTGACTTATGAAGGGAAAAACACGAAAAAAGATCTGAATCCTGACAGTGGAAAAACCTAAGGATTCAGAAACATTTATTTTTAGAAAGGATATCTTAGATAATAAAGTGCTTGAAGTGCTTGCATCCGTTTTATGACGATTATGGGCTGATACGGTTGAACTCTATCTAGAGAGTGTCAAATAGACCAGATGAGACAACAAATTTCAAATTTCCTATTGGGTTGCCAAATAAGCATCCCGTAGTTTGCAGTTTGATTTAGGATATGCATAAAAGATTTTGCACGTAGGAGTTCAAGGATTACTTGCAATGGTAAGAGAAAATTACTGGATTTTGGGGTGGTAGAAAAGCTAACAGATCTGTAGTGAAGAAATGCTCAAATTGTTAGTTGGGAAAACCCAAAATAGGGAAGACAAGTTTTCTCCTATTATACACTGAATGTGAAAATTTTGGGTTAATTTTCTTCGCTTCTCCATCCACAGATGCGTTTCGATCTATCAGATCTCATCAGAGGCTAGGAAAGCAAAGAAACTCAACCCAAGTTTAGTGCCTGTAGGCAGTGTTCACGAAGAGCGAATTTTGGTCGTGGCGCCATCTAGGTCTAGGATTCAGCACTAAACAACATTTTTGCTGTAAAAGTACTGACCGTCTAATAGGCCGACCAAAAATCAGTTAGATGGGAAAACTCAAAAAAAGGGAAAACAAGTTTTCTCCTATTATACACTAAATGTGAAAGTTTTGGGTTAATTTTCTTCGCGCGTAGAGAAGAGAGATTCTTGAAACTTTCGGAGCAAGATGGGAAAAGTTACGAGTTCATCTTAATAAAATGTCAAAAAAACAGGAACAAGAACAGTTCACGAAAATCAAATACCTGCAAATATTTCCAATTTTTACTTAATCGGGATTTGATCTACAAGCTCAAAATTACCTGGTTGTAGTTGAGCACCGAAATTACCTCCAACAGGAGGATATCCATAAAATCCTTGAGGGTAATATGGTTGAGGTGGATATCCCATGCCTGGATAACTAAAGCCAGGTCTTCCAAATTCACCGTAATAAGGATTAAAGTTAGGCGGTCCGTAGAACGGATAAGGAGGCACATTTTGTGGGTACGAATTCATTCCCAAAGCGTTTTGGTAAGGATACGGCATTGTAGTGGCATTCTAAAAAAGAAACACAATTTCTATAAGTCAAATTTGTTCTAGAAACTCACCTGAGTCCATGGATTAAATTGGGCATTTGCCCATTGAAAAAAGCACCAAAAAATCCATAAACCAATGAACTGCATTATTTGCAACCAAACGCAAACGGTCAAAAGAAATAATATCTTATTACAGAGAGTCTACATATTTAAATGTTGACACTTGACCTGAGATTGAAGATTTTTTTTTGAGGGGATTTTGATTAGGCTGATAAAGAAACTGGGCCGGTCACTAAACTACCAATGATTAGTTTAAATAATTATAAATGCATTAAAATTTAACATATTGTATTAACATGTAAATTCATAGGCAATATATTTTTGTTTATTTGTTTAGACAAAAACACGCTGTGACTTTAAATTTTATGTTTTCCTAAAACTGATTATTATTATGGAAATTATCTTGCGTCAATTTTGAAAATATTACTGATAACACCAACATTGGTGCAAAGTTTTATCAAATATATTTCAACTCTGGTGCCCCTAGCAAGTAAATTTAAACCATGCTCCTAAAATTAGCACCATTCTTAGTGTTAGCAGTAATTTTCGAGAGTGTTTATTCAACAGAAATTTTATTCAATGCCCTCAAACAACACGTACCAAAAATCAGGTAATCAATCCATGAGTTTAACATCCAGTAACTAATTAATGAATTTGTAGATGTAAACTGCACAAGATAGGCTCGAAGCTGATTCCTCATATGCACAGTCGTGGTGATCCTTGCGAGGCAGCTGACGATCACCATCATGCTGAGGAATTTGGCGAAATGAATGTGGAAAATTCACAATCTGGATATGGTGAGATGTTTGTATAGTATTATAAAAATAACTTGTATCTCATATGTAGTCTTCTATGATCCTTACAACAATATTTTTATATTAGGAACTCAACAGCTAAATGGTCATTCTTACGGTCCTTCTGATAGAGAGCCAACACAATTTCGACCAAACAATTTGTACCCAGCTACATCATCCAAACCAGAGTTTCAAAATCGTCCTGTGGACGCTCAAACTGGATACCAAAATTTGAATATTGGTGAAGGGGAAACAAATAATTTTCTACAAACTACAGAAAAAAGCAACATCAGAGATGTGGACAACAATGAGCTTATTTTGCCTAATATTAAATCTACAACACAAAAAATTGATAATCAGCGTAAGTTTTTCGAAGTTGCTATTTTATTCAAACAATAATTCCTTTGTTTTTCAGCTTCTACAGAAAGTTGGCCTACATCTCTGGACATTGACATACGTATGCATGCAGAGGAAGAACCCACAACAGCAAAATCGTACGCTACCGTCCCCACCGGTGGTGGAAGGCATATTTTCAAAGCCCCTTGTAAGAATGGAATGATTATGACAGAAGATGGATGTATGGAGGAAATTTAATTTTTTGAAAATTGTATTTGAAGTTAAATGTTGTTTATAAAACTCTCTTAATTCGTGGTGCTTGTGTTATTTTTTTGCTACTCCTTTAGAAAAATAAGATGTAAATAACACATAAAAATTTTGGTAAATAAACGAAACGAACTTTTCAGTAACAGACGAGAAATAATAAGGGCTTTGGAGCCTTTGGGAAGAAATGGTTACTTACTTTACACAATGAGTAGGTACCTACCTATAGTCTACAACTTATCTATTCTTTAACCAGATGATCCTAAATCTAGAGATTTGGTTTCTCTTTTGCAAATCCCTCTTAATCCTACTTCAAGTATAATCGCAGAACAGAACAAAATCGTTTTTCAAAACGTGTTCAACTATTGGGAAACTATTGAAAATTATGAATTTGAAAGAATGATCTTGAGGGAAAAAGACCAGATTGAAAAAAGTCGTTAATAGCAACAGTCAATGCTCGAAGAGCTTCCAAACGGATTTCCTTGAGGATTTCAATTGAGATCCCATCACTACCAGTTGCATTTTTGTTCTTTATGTCGTTTATTGCTCTGATCACGTCGTTACAGGCTATTTGATGTCTGAACTGAAGCTACTATTAATGGTAATGTTGACTAGGTAGCTTATGGGGTTGATGATATTGTTTTCAAGTTATCTGCTACAGAGCAGTATAGTAGTTATTGAATTCATTTGGATTTAAGCAGGAGTCGTCAAGACTTTGACTGTTACTATCACCCCTGTCATTAACAATCCTTCATGTTATAGGTATGACTTTTATTTTCTGACTTCCTATCAGAGTAATGCAGTTGTTTTGCTCTAGCTTTATTCCTTATTCTATATATGTTCTCTTGCAAGCAGAGAAATAGTTAGTCAAGAATACACAATAAGGAGATCTTTTTGAGTTAGCTTAGAAACCTTAAGTTTGGAGCAGATGTATGGATACCACGTGTCAACCAGGACTTTGATTTTTAGCCTTGACATAATGAAGGGGGAATGATTTGTTAACAATTTGGCAAAGCAGAGAATGAAATACACTCAGACAATTGTCTTTCCTGAACTAGCCAGTCCAATGTTGTACAAGCTTCAAACATTCCAAACATAGAAGATATTTTGGTGACTACAATGTACTACGTTCGATGTTCGTGAAGCTTATTTATATATTGAGGAAAACCACCTATTTAAAATATTATTTCTTCAAATCTTAATTTTTTAAAAAAACGTTTACTGAATAAAAATAAATGTTGCAACCTTGTATGCGCCGTCAACGTACTGAAAGGGTACCAAACCGAACGCGAGCTAGAGAAGAGGCGATTAGGCATTAGAGAGACTAGAGAACAAGCTGGGGCTGGTCCATTAGACGCGTATCGCGTGTCTGTAGTTATTCATTATTCAATTTTTATTTTTATTTTGCAATAAACTGATTGTTCAATCCAATTTGTTATTAGTGTGTGTGTCAAGGAGCGATCACCAGGTCAGTTAAGCGGCGTTTCCACATGCATAGTTTATTGGCGCCAGTCGACTGTCGTAACTTTTCTGGCACGTGGAAACGCGGAAAATTCTGGCACCAGTTAACTGGAGCCACTTTATTCATGCGCCAGTAAAGTAAGTCGCGTTTTTATTCTCATCGGTGACTTCACCGATGAATCAGCTATCTTTGTTTAGTGAATGAAAAATGACAATGACGGCCATAGAATGGTGGATCCATCGGTAAAATTTGATGAGAATAAAAACGCAGGGGTAGAATGGAGGTTTACTTTTTGGCGCCAGTTTGTCATGTGTGACAAATTGTCAATCGTTTTCAATAGTCGTTTTCAGAACAATAATGAAAATGTCAAGTAAATCCAAGTAAATCTAAAAAATTGAACATATAAAACTTATGGAAGAGCATCCCTGTTTGTGGAATCACAAATTTTTGTGTTACGAAGACAGGAATAAACGGGATGATGCTATAAGAATAAGTGTTGACGTATTGTGCGAGTTCTCGTGTTCTTAAGTGGTTTTGATATCACTGGCTACTAAAAGCAGAATCAGAAGCTTTGGAAATGCTTCATAATCTTCATCCGCTAGCTCAGACAGTAAATTATTTGATGCTCCTAGAAATTTTCTACGTGAAATTCATTTTCGTTCCCAGATCTTCTGTTTATGTCTCTTCTTCTTGTTTTTTCGGGTCTTCTGCAATAATTATAGAAACAAAATATCCACAGCAACATTTTAATACCTGCTTGAACCATTAAAGTTGACGCTGTTTTTCATTTTACTACTGTGCCAGTTGAAAGTTTTTGATATCAAGTGCCAAGTGGAAACAGATACTGGCGCCACTATTATTACGACAGCAAATTGGCACGTTCACTGGCGCCAATAAACTATGCTTGTGGAAACGCCGCTTTAGATAATTGTTATTTTGTTTTTGAGAGTTCAATTATTTATGCTAGTATCATTTTTCTTATTTTTATGTTTTTTTTTTGTTTGTTGTTTTTGTGGATTTAGAGCGTGCATTAGGGCCTTGTTGAATTTACTAACATTTTCCTACCCTGACGAGAGAATATCCTAGCAAATTGAAATAATCAATCTAGAGATATTGGCTCAAAAACAACTATAGCTGGGTAGCATCCCGTATGGGACCTCAGTACCTGCTGCGAAACTGGCTAACTAACCAAAAAAACTCTTCAGTATTGAATAGAGGTAGTGTTGATTGAATGTAGTGTGCGTAATTGAAATTTTAGCACAAAGAACAGGGGTGGTACCTAATTTAAACTTTTATTGACTTACAATTATTACTAAAATGACACAGTATGTGTCGATTTTTGAGGAATGTTAGATCGAGGGTTTCTCTGCCGTGCTCTTTCCTCTCGTTAGTTCCAGGCTGAGAACGGTACGATTTACTTTAATAATAAAGTAGACGTTTCACGAATTTTTCGTTTCTTTTACATATCACAACCTCCCTTAAATTTCCCAAATATTTGCTATGTCGGGCGCATGTCCAGAAAGTAAAATTGACTAAGTTTCCACAACGTAGGTCCTATTTGTTTTTCATTTCGTTTTTCAGAAGATTTGTTGTTTGAAAGGTAATAAAAATTCTCCTCGTTCAATCTTACTGAACGAACCAGGGTATGTCATACTACAATATGGTGAAGACAGTTCAAGAATTGTTATGTATTTTGTATATAACTGGATAACGAATTGTTGTAATCATTGTTATTATGATAGTCATCATCATTGTCATCTTTAATTGATAGTATAATTCATCATTTGAAGATAGAAGTATTTATTACTACAGAAAAGGAAGATTATAAAGTACATAGATTGATGTTTGGCAACGAAGTGGCTCCTGCTATTTGGCAACGTTATACATATTTTAAACTTATTGAATAAAATACCTGGAATTTGTGTATTTTTAGATGATATCAAAAAAGGAGGGGCGACATTACAAGAAAATGTAAACAGAGTACCTAAGAATTGTTTTACAACGTCTACAAAAAGCTGGTCCTATATCATATTTGGGTCATAAAATTGCAAGTAGAGGCTTGGAGAAAACTGAAGACAAATTAAAAGCTTTCAAGAATGCACCAGTAGCAACAATGTCACTGAGTTAAAAAGTTACTTACTACGGAAGATTTCTGAAAAATCTTTCTTCAAAGCTATGTAACGACCCGGGAAAAATAGACCCGTAATTTACAATGTCTCGACAGTAAACATTAAATGTAATCAAATAATCAAAAATTGAATCTCTAATATTTCAAATCAGTATCAATAAAACTGGAAAATGAGACAAATTAGCGTTGACCCCAAATTAAATAAAATATTTAAAATATGTTCAATTTCTAATAGCCAGTCATCAAGTTAGTGAACTCGTAAATCAAAACCCGGAAAAGATTAAATACACGGTTACCTAATTAAATTAGATCCAAAATGACAGAAATTTCAAAAGATCGTATAATTTATTGCCGGCACGAGTTCGGGTTTCCCTTGAATTAAGTGTCCTCTACATTCTTTCCCATTTCCTTGACCCCAAATAATCATACAATTTCGACACAGATTTCGTCATCAGCCCATGAACAAGTTAAATTTTTTGGAATACTATCTAGGTCGACCAATAGAATTGAATTACAGATGGTCAAACGACCGCCCATATTGTCGATTGTGGTGGATAAATAATAGTATAAAAGGGGGCGACCGTTCAAGTAGAGAGGAATCATCAATCAATTATCGAGAATTAGACTCAATAATTAGTAGTATTCAGAAGTGGCGGATTATTTCCAGTACAAAAGGTCGGGCCTCGGAAAAGTAAAAATTAGAGTAAATAACTCGAATTAACAAAGAAGTAAACCTTTCAGTTTTATGTGCGTGCTCTAGCTATTCTGAAGTGAATAATAATTAGAATAATTAAGTGACTTTAAGGGCGATAATTTAAATGTAAGTACTCTAGTGACAAGTTTTATATTGACTTTATCAATGTTGAAATGACTATGAAGTGAATTGACTATGAAACTTTATTGCATAAATATAATTAACTTGAGAGAATTGACTTTAAATATTTTTATCCCATTTTGACGTTTAAAAATGACATTATTGAACGCATAACAATAAAGGTAAGTAGACGTTTATCACCTCAGTGATTTAAAAACATTTTAACTCACTCTCGGCATTTTAAGTCACTCTGCCCAACTAAAAATTTGAAACCTCAGTGATTTAAAATATTTATTTTTGAAATTTTCACAAAATGGGATAAAATTTTGTATACACCACGTGAGTTGAAATGTTTATTCATTCGAAGAAAATTAACCCACTCGCTAGGGCTCGTGGGTTAAACTTTCTTCTCATGAATAAAAATTGATTTAACTCACTTGGTGTATAAATAACTATTATTTGCTTTCTTACAAATGATAATTTTCAATTCAAAATCGAATGAAATATCTTGCAATCTAAGTATAAGTGAAAAGGATATCACACACTTATGTTTGTGAGTGTAGGTAGGTACTTGTTTAAATGTAAATTAAACATCAATAATAAACATTTTTTTTTTCTCGGACACAGTGTTGACAATGGCCATGATAA